GGTGGCATTTGAACCGGCGCCCAGCAGGGTTGGCCGGGTGAGCGGGTTTGGGTGGGGTGGGAGGGTGGGATAGGCTAGGGTACATCTGCGGCTTCTGCCGAGGGAAAGTGGTGGGATAAGCGGCGCCGTCGGCACCCGAGGGCCAGACGGCGTTATTGCAGTGCGTGTTGCGGCGCTGGCGGGAGCAGGCGCAGGCGGCCTGGCCCCTGGGGCGCCAGCGGGGTTGAGGCAGGCATCAGGGGCGGGCCGCGGGGCTGCTGGGGGCCTGCGCTACGCCCAGGCGGCCGGCCTGGGTCACCGCCACCGCCTGCACCAGGCCGGCGCAGTCGCTGGCGGTGCGGCTGAGCTGGCTGCCGCGCTGCACCATGTCAGCCAGGGAGGCGGCGGCGCCGGCCGGCGCCGACGCCCGCGCCAGCTGCACCCCTCCTCCGCCGCCGCCGCCGCTGCTGCTGCCGCTGCCGCCGATGGTGCCGCAGGGCTGCAGCACCCGGGCGGAGTGCAGCGGCTGCTGCGCGTGCACCCGGCTGTACCCTCCCAGCGGCACCACGACGGGGCTGAGGTGCGGCGACAGCGGCGTCCCCAGCAGCGAGTCGCCGGGAGAGCTGGTGCCGCTGCTGAGCAGGCGGTCCTCTTGCTGGGATCGCCGCCCGCTGCTGCGGCAGGCAGGGCAGGGGAGGGTGGGAGGGGGCAGGGAGGGGGCAGGGGGTGAGGGGAGGCGAGGAGGCACGCGAGGCCGGCGGCCCGCAGAAGCGCGCGGCGGCGTGGGTGGCTGGCGCGGCTGGGGCAGCAGGCGCGGCGCGCCGCCCTCCTCCACTTGCGGCACGCACCGGGACTTCCCTCTGCCCCTACCAAACTCTAGACCCCTCACAGCCCCAGCTGCGCGCGCCCCTCGCAGCCTCACCTCAGCATGTCGTGGCTGGCCCTGCAGCTGGTGAGTAGGGAGTGGCTCTGCAGGGAGCCGCCCGAGGGGTGCCCGCTCTGCAGGCGGCCGGTGGAGATGGAGAGCGACACGCCGCCCCGCACTTTCTTCTCCAGGTTTGAGTCTCCCGAGCGCGGCGTGTCGGCGGCCGCCAGCGAGGCGTCAGACCGGTAGGAGCAGAGCTGGGCCTGGAAGTTGGAGGTGGAGGGGTAGGCCTGCGGCGGACGGGGGAGGAGGCCGGGGCGAGGGCTGTGGGCGGGCCTGGGCTGGCAGGCGGCTACCGGCGGGTGTGGCAGGCGGCATGCCGGCACGCGTGGGCAGGCGGCCGCGAGGAGGGCGAGCGCGGGCGTGCAGGGCGCCGCGCGGCGCGGCGCCGCACCTTGCGCACAGGCCGCAGCAGCGCCTCCAGAGGCAGCGTGAGGGGGCCGTCCTCTGAGATGCTGTCCCTGCGCTGCATGGGGATCGGCTGCGGCCCGCTGCTGCTGCGCCGCGTCAGCGGCGACGGCAGCTCTCCCCAGGACCCGCTGAAGGTGCCGCCCCTGCAGCAGCGCGGCCAAGGCAGGCAGGCGGGCGGGCGCGCGACGCAGGCACGGGAGCGAGTCAGGCCGGGCAGGCAGACAGCCGGACAGCCGAGGGGCCGTGCCGGGCGGGGCAGGGCGGCTGCCAAAGCACGGAGCACAGCCAGGCGGGCGCCCGAAGCGCTCCCGGGGCGCCGCCGCTCACCGCCGCGTGCTGGGCTCGCTGCTCTCAGAGGCGAGGTCTCCAAAGGAGCTGTGAGGGCTCTGGGAGGAGAAGTCGTCCATGCGGTGCAGCGTCCCGCTGCTGCCGCGGCCCGCCTGCCGCGGCGAGGGCGCCGGCTGCTGCTGCGGCGCCGCCGCCGCCGCGGCGGCCACCGCCGCGGCCGCCGCCGAGGCTGCCGCCGAGGAGGAGGCGGAGCTGCTGCCGCTGCGGTGCAGGGGCCGCGCGCACTGCGGCACGTCGTGCAGTAAGGGGCTGACCGGCGGCGGCGGCGGCGCGTCCAGGCCGGCCGCCGCGCCGGGCGGCGTGCCCGCCGCGTCCTCAACTCCCGCCGCCGCCGGCGCCGCCGCCACGGGCTGCGATGCGCCCTGCCCCTGCCCCTGCCCCTCCTCCTTCTGCTGCTGCTCCTCATCATCGTGGTACAGGTGCCGGAAGTACTGCTGCGGCTTGTGGTTGGAGGGGTTGCGGTCCCGCTCCAGCCGCCACTGCAGGTAAAGTTCGTTGGCCTCGTCGTTGCACGAGGCGGCGCGCGCCAGCGGGCGCGGCACGCTGGCCTGGCGCTCGGGCGGCGGCAGGCCCGCGGTGTGCAGGATGACGCAGGAGATGTCGTCCACGATGGCCTGGGGAGGAAAGGAGGGGAGGAAAGGAGGGAGGTGGTGAGGCGGAGGAGGCAGCAGGGGCAGCCAGCGGGCAGTCGGCAGGCAGGCGCCGCCGGCCCTCGCCCCGCCCCGCCCCGCTCCTCCAGCCACGCCCCCCACCACCCCAAGCCCAGCCACCACCACCACCGCCACGCCTCCCTCACCTCATCATGCAGCGCCTTCCACCGCTCCTGCGCCTCCAGCGTGAGCGCCTCGGCGCACGACACATGCGCGTCGCGCCGCGCCTTGTACCGGTCCACAAAGTCGGCGGCGGCGGCATTATCCATGATGTCCCACAGGCCGTCGGTGGCCAGGATCTGATGGGGGGAGGTGGAAATAAGCAAGGGGGGGCAGGTGGGGATCAGCAGGGGAAGGGGAGGGCGGCGGGGCACCGGCGCGGTGGGTGCCTGGGTGCGGGTGTCTGAACGCTGGCTGGCGGCGGCCGGGCGCGGCCGGGCTCGATGGAGGCGGCTGCGCAGCGCCCAACCCGGCCCGGCCCAGGCCTCAGCCCCGGCCCCAGACTGACCTCCGGCCTGGCCTCCGACCAACCCACCCTGCCCACACCCACCCACCCGCCCCGCCCCCTCCACCCACCAGGAACAGGTCCCGCTCGCCCAGCGTGTATGTGTTGAGGATGGGCTCGGGGCTGACGCCCACGGCGTGCGCGTACAGGTCGCCCAGGGAGCGCGACATGGCCAGCCCCGGCAGCACGTCGTCGCCGCGGCGGAAGACGCGGTATGCGCCCACCCGCTGCCCCCGCTCATCCAGCAGCTGCTTCACCACGCCGCCTGCGGCAGGGGCGACGCGGGAAGGGAGACAGGGAGGGAGGGAGCACGCGGGGTGAGAGGGAGGGAGGGGGAGGAGGGCGTGTGCCAAGGCTGGCGGGGCGGGCGAGCCACGGCGGCGCGCTGGCGGGCAGGCAGCCGGCCACAGCGCGGCAGCGCAGCGCAGGGCTGTCTCACAGAACAACAAACACCAAGCCCCGGCAGGCGACCAGCCCGACGGCAGCGGCGGCGGCGGCGCGGGGCTGCCCCTGCAGCCGCTCCCCGCCCGCCCTGGGAGGCGCACCCGCCATCAGTATGCGGCTCTCCTCCTGTGGCAGCGAGGGCTTGGCGTCCCAGGTGAGCGGCACCACCTCGAGCTCGCCGCCGGCGCCGTGCCGCGCCACGACCGCGCGCGAGTCGCCCGACGACGCCACCAGGACGCGGCGCCCCACCAGCAGCGCGCAGCAGGCGGTGGTGCCCGACAGCGAGGCGTCAAAGCCCACCGCGCCGGCGTCCTGCATTGCCGCATGCACCTCCAGAAAGGCCTCCCGCAGCGCCCGCAGGCGCTTGCGCTCGCTGGCCGCCGCCGCCGCCTTGGCGGCCAGCAGCTGCGGCAGGTGCGTGCTGGCGTACTTGGCGGCGCTGCGGCCGTAGGGGCCGTGCCCGTCAAACACGCCGGCAAAGGTCTGGTGCGGCAGGCCGCCAAAGTGCTCGATCACCACCGCGTCGTCCTGCGGGCGGGCAGGCGGGTGGGTAGGTGGGCGAGGGCGAGGCGCCGCATGCAGCAGGACGTGAGAGGGCCCGTGCGCTGTGCCGCGAAGCGGCTTCGCCTGCCAGCTGCCGCCGCCTGCCAGCTGCACGCACGCCCGGCAACAGCATGCAGCACGCAGCAGCAGCAGCAGCAGCAGCAGCACGGACTCCACCCAAGCGCCGCCGCGCAGCGCTGGGGCACGGGCCTCGGATGCTGCATGGAGACAGGCGGCCGCCTGCGCCTGCCGCCGCACCTGGCAGTCCGATTTGAGCCAGCGAGCGTTGGCCTCTGCAAACATGCGGTCTTCGTCGCTCATGGCCGGAGACTCCAGCCAGTAGAAGCAGGGGCGGATGCCGACCTCCGAGGATGACACCGCCGCCAGCTGCCGCACATCGCCGTCCTCGCCCTGTGGCCCTGCACAGACGACACACGCGAAGGCGGCGGCCGAGGGGCAGCAAGCAGGGGCGGGTGAGGGTCGATCGGCGCCAGCGTGCTGGCTGGCAGCCAGCTAGGCTGGCGGAGCGGCAGGGGGCGGGGGGTGCGAGGCGGTACTGGCGGCGGGAAGCCGGCGCGGCAGCTGGCGGCGGCGCGCACCCGACGCGCTGAAACACGACAGGAATGGTATCCGCCTGCGGTGGTGGTGGTGGTGCTGCTGCTGCTGGTGCTGCTGGGTCGGCTGTGGCGCCGAGGCCGCGTGCGCTAGCGAGTCGCCGGCGGGAGAGGGCGATGCCACGAGCGTGCTTCCCGCGGAGGACGACAGCCAGCCGTTGGTGTTCTGGGACGACACCTGCGAGCTGTTGCTGTCCACCGGGCTGCTCTTGTCCAGCCCCGCCGTGGGGCTGACCTTGAATGCGAGGCTCAGGGCCGAGCCGCCGCGCACTTTGTGCTCGTCGATGCCCGGCATGGCTGCCGGCGGCGGCCGTCGCCTGGGCGAGTCACGCGCGCGGGCTCCCTAACAGAGGCTGGGCGGCGTCATCCCCAGCGCTGTTGTGCCCGGGCCGAATCTGCAGGGAGCAGGGAGCAGCAGCAACAGCAGTCGGCAGGGGCTGCTGCACCCACGTGTGGCAAGCCCTAACGCCACAGCTGGCCCCGCGGGCTCGGATTGGCTGCCCCATACGGCACAGAGGGGATGAGGCCCACGCCAAAGCCTGGGCCGCGCCGGGAGAGCGGCGGCCCACCAGGCGTGACTGAGGGGCCACCCAGCCTCCGCTGGGCGGGTTGCGTTGCTTCCACCAGCATCGCCTGGGCAGATCCAGCAACCCGCAGCATCCAGCAAGCAACCCCAGCGCAACAGGGATTGGGGCAGCCCTCGGCGGAGAGCGGGCGCTGGCCCTCCCCTGCCCGCTGCCAGCACTCCCCATGGCCACCCCTGAGCAGCACTGGCCAGCAGCGGCCTGCGCACCTTCTCCAAGTGCACCCCCAATCGCCGTCTCTCCTGTAGAACTGCACCCGTTTGCAGCAGTGGGGCGAAAAAATGAGGATGCGAGCTTGAGCAAAGAGGGGTGGGAAGGGCGATTTGCTGAGCACCCGCCGCTTAGCACTGTAGTGAGCAAGCTCAGGCCCGAGGTGGCCGGAGGCCATGACCCATGTGAAGGAATCAGCAGCCCCAATCGGCGTTTCTCATCCAGATCTACGAGGGAGATCAATGCAGACCGCAAACGTGTACGAGGGCGCCCGTGCCTTTTGCAGGAGGAACCTGGACCAAGGCCACCGCACGCCGTCCCGGCGCCGCACACGCCGGGTTGTGCAGTGGCCATTCCCCCTCATCTGGCCTCTTACTACTGCTGTTGCCTGGGGGGAGGATGGGGGAAATGACACTGGGCCAGGCAGGAGCGTAAACTCGGATGTAAACAAGAATCTAACTTGTATTGGCGGCACGGGACGCAACGTCCCGCACGCTCACAACGGCGCCGCCATGCCCAGCAGCTCAGCCTGGCGGCGCCGGGCCTCTGCAGCCAGCTGCCGCGGCGTGGCCGCCGGCGTGCCGCGGTGCTCGGCCATGAGGCTGCCTGCGGAGCATCCCCAGGCGGCGGCCGCCGCCAGGCCCTCGCCAGCCACCCACGCCGCCAGCAGCGCGCCGCAAAACGCGTTGCCACAGCCGGTGGGATCCACCACGGCGGTGCGGGGGAAGGCCGGCACCACAAAGGCCTGGCCGCTGGCACGCTCGTGCACCACCGCGCCTCGCTCGCCCCGCCGCAGCGCAACCAGCGCGGCACCAGCCTCTAGGAAAGGCTCGGTCAGCCGCCGGGGCTCGCTGCGGGCGGGCTCAGGGACCTCTGCACTGGGCCCAAACAGCATGCTGTACGCCTCTGCCTCATTGGGAGAGAAGACATCCAGCAGCTGCATGAACGAGACAAGCGCGGCTGGCGGTACCGCGGCAGAGGCCGCCGCAAACGTCTCGGCGCTCACCAAGCCTACATGGAATGGGAGCATGGGAATGGGTGGAGGGCTTGAAGAAACCCCGATGTCCTGTCACTTGAAGGCAGCCGCAGGGCAGGTGGATGAGGCAGGACAGGTGCCGAGTCGAGCACGCCGCCACACCTTGACTCCCGGCAGCTTGCCGCAGCTCCCGCAGCAGCGGCAGAGACGGCTCCTCTGGGTGCACGCCGACGTGGAAGTTCCGGGCGGCCTGGTAGGCCGGCGGCAGCTGCGCCAGCCCGGGCCGCAGCATGGCGACGAGCTGCGGCGTGAAGGGTGTGCGCCAGATCTCGTGCCGCCGCCCGTCTTCTTCCAGTATCTGCACCCCAGCAATGAAGGCCACCACCAAGGGATCAGTGGAGTGCCGCTTGTGCAGTTCATCCACCCAGCCCCAATCCGACGGCGGCGGGGTTCCCCTTGTCAGGCAGCTGGGGCCCACCTGCCACGCCCGCGGCGTCTTGCGGTCCTCCAGGCGCAGCAGCGCCCCCGTGTCTATGCTGCTGGCCTCCAGCCACGCCACACACTCCTCCGGCAGGTCGGGGCCCACCCCAGCTGCCAGCGCCACGCGAGCCGTCTGCCCTTGCTGCAGCTGGTACCCCCACAGAGCCTGCGGCCCGCCGCCGCCCAGGCGGCCCATGCTGCTGGTGCCGTTCGGGCTCACTATGTCATCCAGAATAAGTGTAAAACCCAGCATTTCAATTGATTCTCCATCAGGAGGTCCCTGCTGTGCTGCACAGACCGCACCATGGCGACCTCTGCGGGGCCTGCTGCCTGGAAAGCGCGCAGCAGATGGCAAGGAGCAGCAGCACGCCATTGAAGTGTCGTCCCCATTGCTGCAGGGCCCTGCAATTCGGCGCGATGACGTGGCGCCAGCCGCCGCCGCCATCTGCTGACCTCGCCAAGATGGGAAACACTCTAGAGTCTTTACAATGCTTGTGTAACTCAAGGGGCAATCCAATGGCATCAAATACATTTACATTCCAGCATGCGCCTACATCCTCGATCGCACGGTTGCTGCTCCTCCTCCTGCCCCTCCTGCTCCTGCCCCTGCCGCCGCCCCATGCGCTGCCGGCAGCGACGCCAGGAAGTGCAGCAGCAGGGCGGTGTACTCCTGCGTGTGGTGCCGCAGGTGGGACACGTGCCCCGAGCGCTCCCACCGATGCGCGTGCACATCCTGGCCGCGCCGCCGCTTGGCCACCACCAACTCATCCACCTTGGCTCCATCACACAGCGGGTCATCAGCGCTGCGTAGATGCACGGCATGGGCATCGCATTGGGAGAGCCCATGTGTCAAGTGTGGCGAGTGTATCTGGAGGCATAGCCGGCATGGCGTCGCCGGCCTGACATCGGTGCCGCACCGGCCAGCCAGCCATCCAACAGCCAGCGCAAGCAATCAAAGCACCTGTAGAGGAAGAGGCAGGGGGCCCAGTCCAGGCGTTCCATGTTCTGCCAGAAGGCCTCGAAGCGAGGCGGCCCGCCGCCCGACAGCAGCGGCCCCAGCCGCGTCAGCGCCGCATAGTATGAGGTCTTGAGCCAGCGGCGCAGGCTGGGCGGCTCGCTGGCCGCAATCACGCGCTGCAGCGCGCCCGGGTGCATGAAGGCGGGCGCCGAGTCGAAGACGAATCCCGCCACGCTGGCGGGCAGCCGCACATACCTGCGGCCAGGCGGGGCGCGGCAGGGCGAGGGCAAGGCCCGCAGGGTCTCAGGCTGTCTGGCTGGGGAGTGGGGCAGCGCTTGGTGCATCAGGATGGGCTACGCTCAAGGTAGCCCGTAGCTCAAGCTGGAGCAGGGCAACGTGTGCGGGGCGGCGCGCGCCAGCAGAGCCACCGCTCGCCGTGGGTGCGTCTCTGCCAGCCGCAGGAACTGCTCCACCACAAAGGCGCCGCCGTTGGAGAAGGCGTACAGCACCAGGCGGCGCTGCGGCCACAGGCCGTGAGCCTCCAGGTGGCGCAGCAGGGCCAGGGCCCAGCCCCGCCGCGTGCGGTCCAGCGGCGAGAAGGCGGTGGCCGTCGGCTGCACCGAGCGGCAGCTGGGGTAGCCCGCGCCCGCCAGCAGCTCGGCGTACTTGAGCAGGGCGCCGTCCCGCTGCGCCTCCACCCATCCCATCAGCACCTGGGGCGCAAAAGGGTGGTGGTGGGGCATGTTGCCTGGGTGGGCAGTCGCGACGACGGGCGGTGGCGGCAGGCGGTGGCGGGTGGCGGCAGGGCGCAGCTGCCCGACAAGCACTTCGGCGTCCTGAGCGCTGCAACTTACCACCACTGGCAGCTCGGGGTTTGCTCTTCCGGCATGCTCTTCCGGCATGAGCACCGCGAAAGGTTCGCCCATAGTGGCGAGGCCAGCCGCACAACTGGTGGGGGGCAGTTCAAGCAGGACTGGATGAAGGAGAAGCTGGGCCCGCGCAATCGACACGGTTGAGCTGACCACATGCGGCGGCAGCCACGCATGGCGGTGAGCGAGCGCCGACGGCGAGCAGAGCTTTCACAACAAGCAGCATTGATCGGCACATCAATTCAATGATCTGAGGCTTGTTGAGTGCCTCAGTGAGTCGGCGGCGTGCCAGCGCTCGGCGCACCTGGGGCCCACATCCTGGGCGCTCCCGCTGCTGGACGGCAGTTAGTCTCGGCCCCCCCATGATTGCCTTTACTATCGCCTGCATGCGGTCTCATGCATTCAACGCGACTAGGCATTGGCATCGGCCTGAGATGGGCACCTCTTCGCCAACCATGCATAGGCCGGCCACCTGGCGGCGGCGGCGGCCAAAATGGAAAGGCTTCATCAAGGTGGCCTGCCTGTCCCGGCGCGTTTCTGTGCGGTTGCAGAAGGCTGCTACTGCCCCCATAGCTTCTTCTGCGCCGCCCAGGGCCCAGGACAGCTTGGCAAAATGCTGCAGCGCGCGGGGAAGCGGCTGCTGCAGGCGGCGGGGCCCCCGGGACTGCTGAGGCAGCTGTCCTCGCTGCCAGAGAAAGGTGGGGCAGCCGCACTTGGGCTCAACACCCAGATGCTGTTCCGAGCTGGGCCTCCACCTCTGCCTGTTTCAAGCGCAATGCACAAGCCCCCGCCACCCCTGCAGCCATCCATGACACCGGCTTCGGCGAGTTTGTCCCCCTGAGCGACAAGGCAGGCGTGCCGGTGCTGGTGCGGCTGCACGAGCGGCCCTGGGGCGCGCTGGCCCGCCTGCCCGCCTCCAAGCTTACTGAGGCCGGCTACGCAGGTCTGCAGGCTGCAGGGTGCAGCTGGGCATTCCCTCCTGTGCAGCTGGCTGCCAGCCACGCCGACCAGCGCCCCACAGCCGAGGCGCGTGCAGCGGTCGCCGCTGGGCGTCGGTTGACCGCCACCACCCGCCTCGTGGCGGCCCCCATTGCACCCTGCAGGCAACCAGCTGCCCTCGCATGTGGCGGTGGTGCGGGACGCCTTTGGCGCCCACGACGACAGCCACCGGGCGCTGGCGCAGGAAGTGGCGGCGCTGGGCCCCGACAAGGTCCGCCTTGCCTTGCCTTGACGCACAGCGCCTGGGCTGGCATGCCTGCCTTGGCTGCCCTTGACTGGCTGGGCTGCAGCTCCCGCGCGCTGCTGCGCAAGGCGGCGGCTGCGGGGCCAGCCGGCCGGGCCGCGCCACGGCGCCCGCTCGGGCTGCCGGCTGCCGTGCCGCTCGAGCCAGCGCATGCATGCATGCCTGGGCACGGCTGTCGGTTGCTGCGCTGCGGGCGCTGCACCTGCGGCAGGCCTCCCTCCCGCTTCCCCGCATGGCACCATGGCCTCCCTGCTGCCGCCTGCCGTGTTGCCACAACCTGCCCGCCTCCATGCGCATACCCCCTGCACCTGCAAGCCCTGCTGCTGCTGCCGCCGCCGCTGCAGGTGGCTGTGGCCTCCGACCTCACCCACCCCCACAACCGCCTCATCGTGGACGACTATGAGCTGGCGGAGGATGGGCAGTACAGGCTGCGCACAGTGGGCACAGGTGCAGTACAATGAAGTAAAAACCACACGCGCGCCGTGCCTGCATGCGTCGGGGCAAAGGGGGGTGGGCAGCAGGGTCTGCCGGAATCAGTCCCTGCCGCCGTCAGCGGGCCCACGCGCACGCTTCCCGGCACCCCTCCCCACCCTGCCTCCTCATTTGAGTCCCCTGCCCTCTCCTCTCCCTTCCCGGCAACACGCAGACCTGCTCCGCTTCTTCAAGCAGCACGACATGCACACAATCCTGGTGCCAGAAGTGGCGGCGGCGGCCGCAGGCACCTCCACCTCTGCCAAGGCCGCCCACCGCGGCATCAAGCAGTCCACAAACGAGGTGCGCGGGGCGGCCCCCGCGGGCGGGCCCCGCGGGCGGGCTGCGCGAGCCCCGCCAGCGCGTCGGGCGCGCCCCGGCGCATCCACCGTCGCACGCTCACCCCGCCTGTGCCTGCCCGCCTCCCCTCGCACACCCACCCGCCTTTGTGCCCGCAGGTGCTGATGGTGGCCCCCACCGCCTTTGTGTTTAACGACCAGGCGGCGCAGGACAACACCTTCATGAATTCTGCGGTCAACTCCTTTGACCCGCCGGGGGTCGCGGCAGGTGGGCATGCATGCGTGCGTGCGCGCGTGTGTGCGCGCGTGTGTGTGTGCATGTTTGGGTGGGTGGGTGGGTGATTGTGAGGGGTAGGCGCTCCTGGCGGGTGTGGGCTGCTGGCCAGGGAGGCCGCTGGGCAGCCAGGCCGCCGGGCGGCAGGCAGGGAGGGATGTCTGGCCCGGCCACAGGCTACACGCGTGGCAGACCTGCCCCGCGAACCCTGACCCAGCCACCCCTGCCGCCGCCGGCCGGCGCCCCCCACCCTGCAGGCCAGCCGCCGCCGCTGTCTGTGACCAAGCGCGTGCTGCGGGAGTTTGCGGGACTTCACCATGAGCTTACGGAGGTGGCGGGGGTGAAGGTCAACCTGTTCCAGCACAGGTGTGCAGGGGCGCTGGGGGCCTGGCTGCCGAGCGCTGGGAGCGGGGCGGAGGGATGGGAGCGCGGCGGAGGGATGGGGGCGGCGTGGCGGTGGGGATGGGCCAGCGCAGCGGTGTGGTGGGCGGCTGGCGCATGCGGGGCTGAGTGCGGCTGTTGTGGCGCTCTCCTGCTCCTACCATCGCCTGGCCCCGCCATGCCAGCGCCGCTACGTATTCATGGCCTGACCCCCTGCCCCGCTGCTCCCGCTGTACAGCCTGTCTCATGGCACCCCCGACGCCGTCTTCCCCAACAAGTGAGTACCGCCCGCATGCCCCCCAGTATTTGCATGGAAAGCATGGGCCACAGTTCAGTCTTTGCATGAAAAGTTCAGTTCAGCCTTTGCATGAAAAGTTCAGTTCAGTCTTTGCATGAAAAGCCTGGGCCACAGCCCAGGCGGCGGCAGGGGAGCGGGCGCCGGAGCCGCACCATCCAGTGCTCCCTGCCCTGGCGCCTCCAGTCCTGCACCTGTGGCAAGCAAACGCCCGCCCCGCCCGCTGCATGCAGCTGGTTCTCCACACACCCGGCGGGCGAGGCGGCCGGCGGCGTGAAACACGACACGCTCGTCTTTTACCCAATGAAGTGCCCCAACAGGTGCCGCGGCTGGGCCCGCTGCGCTGTGTTGTGCCTCGCCGCCCTTGCCTCGAGACTTGCCGAGGCCCGCGGCTCGGGCAGGCTGGGGGCAGGGCTGCCCGC